GCCAGTTTTTGACACAAGCGTTCCTCTTGAGGCCATGCTATTTCTTCCTTATATGTTGATTGAACTGACAGGTATCTTCCCACACAGTCAATATGTATTGGGTTTTGTTCTGGGTTGGTTTTTTTCTTTCTTTTTTTTCCTCTTTGTAAGTTCTCATAAGAAAGTCTCTGGAGTCACGATGTTCAGCCCTGCCAATTTTGAGCGCAGGACCACTTGTTAGTTCCTTATTACGCGTGGGCTAACAAGGAAGGAAATGCAAAAGGGTAAGATGGCAGGAAAGCCGTAGCATCTCGTTGGTGATAAGGCAGCTCAAAAATAGGTTGTGACAGCTGAACTAATGATGTCACCGATGCTGATACAAGTGGGCTGCTTCTCATAATGATTTCTCTGCCAGACATAGTGACATTCACCAGCCAATGTGTGTCTCGAGTAGACAATACATAGAACAAATCATAGGAAATGTGGCGCAGGAGGCATACGATAGAACATTTGCCCAGTTTTTTGTTTTATTTTACAAGAGCACAATACTTCTGTAGATGATAAAGGTGTACAGGTCAAGCTTAGCCTTGCTGGACCACTTTATCAAACCAGGGTCGTAGGGCTCTTGTTGTGACATTTAGAGATAAGCATTTTGGAGGTAAATGAGATGGAGCAGTCTGCAAGGAGATCAGGAGGTGCCGTGTAGCTTCAGACCTCAAGTAAATTACAAATACGGTGTTGGTAGCCTGACCATTGATATGTCCTTTGTACTGTACACTGTGTATTAAGATAGTGATAGATAAATAATGTAGTTTAGTTGTCAGAAAGATGCATTTGTTGCCCAGGTTTTTACTATAGATTTATTCTTGGTTTATTTTCCATAGAGTTATTTTTAATGAGAATGGAAAGGGAGTTAAAAATTATTTGGACTCAGATTTCATTGTGTAGCTACTTGATCAAAATATAAACTCGTTTATACTCTTGTAAAGGGAAAATGCTATATTAGCTTTCAGCTATCAGATTTGATTCAGATAATGATACAGCATCCTAATTCATAGTCTCTACTTCAGATATTGAGTTTGTCTGTGATAGAGCCTTTTTCAGAAAACTGCTCTACCCTGATAAATCATCCAGAGAGAGAGAGAGAGAGAGAACGTGCGCACGTTTAGATGGCATGGAAAAATAGGCTAATAATGTGATTGTATAGGAGTACTCAAATATTTCAATGCATTTGTGTTGATAAATTATCATTTGTTTTAATGTTCAATTGCATGTACCCTTTTTAGCTGTTCTGCTTGATCGCAGTGATTTGCTAGCTGTATGCGAGTGCTGGAGTTGGTTGCTTTTCCTGTTTTGATCACAGCCCAGGCAGTAAAGGCCACTACACTTTAAACAGATAATAAATCATATGGTGTCCTTGCTAACCAACATTGCAGATTCCCCCGGGTCTGAACTGAATGTCCTTCTTTCTGTTCAGTTTAGTGCAAAGAAGGTAAAATTCTATTTGATGTTAGTGTAATATTTTGAGACAAAGTCTGATGAGGAATTTTTCCGAACTGCCAAAAATAAATCTCACCAGCAGAGTTTTAGCTGGTGACTCGAGGCATATGTATTCCTGACTTTTGTCTGTTTATTTTTACTTCCCTTTTGTTCTGAGCTGTCTAAAGTTTTGATGCTGTTTAGCCAAGGAAGGAATTATAAAAGTAGCCTATAAACTCTTTCCAAGGGGGGGAGGAAGAGAGGGGAGAAAACAAAAAATGGTGTGAAGAAGGTGTTTAGGCCTTTTGTTGTGGTGTGTGCCACTTATCCACTGACCTGCATGGTGTATTTGGTTGCATTTAAAATACTGGAGCAAATTCCTTGCAGTTATTTTTCTTAGGTGGTTTGCTCTGTGAAGATAATGAAAGTGGGATGCTCTGTCTGTATTGTTCAGCTGCAACAGATTTCAAGTTATTGCTAAGATTTCAAGTTATCAAAGCATTTTACCCTGTTAAACTGTGCTCTAATGATCAGCATGTCCCAGGATTGCCCCAGATTGATGACTGTGGTATAACCGATTGCTTGCCAGTGGGACTGAATCACTTTGAGCTGCATTCTCCTCTATCATGCAATGTTTTAAAAACAGTTTTACCAACAACAAAAGCTGCTGTCTAAATCAAGCACAACACGTTTTCCCATTATGGCACAAATTGTGCTTGGTAACGTTTTGATTGCTGGGATGAGTGTTTAGCATCCTGAATTTGCTAAATGAAGAATGTGTGGGAACCAGATTTTGTACTTGAAAGCTTTTCTCTCTTTTTGACAGCTTGACCAGCTGTTTTCTTGGCTTTGGGATGCCCCTTCTATTCCTTTTTTCCCCCCCCTGCTTCTCTCCCTCTTTTCTCCGCTATAAACAACCAACAACAACATCTCTAATTATTAAAGATGAATATGAAGGCAAAGTCCTGACATAGTTGATATCATGAAATAAGAAGTGCTGCAAATCCTGTCTTTCAAAAGTTAGTCCATGTCAGACGATGCAGTTCTATAGCAGGCTCTTGGCTAGAGCTCACCAGGGACACAGAGAGGAGCAGGGCTTATGTTCTCCTGCCTCCAGAGCTTTGTTTCACTGAATGCCATTGTGGTGCTTTGTCATCTACCAGTGTACCTATGGTGATTTCTGATGCTTGTGCCATGTGCTTAGGCAGTGGGAATAATGCCCTGCTCTTGAGAGCCGTGCAAGCAGGAGACTTGGGGCTGGTCTGGAATGAGATCTCCTGTATTTCTGCTTTCAGTTTTGACATCAGTTTGCTGGCTGGCACCAAACTAGTCAGTAAATTCAGAGGCAGTACCAGGGATGGAAGCCCTAAAACCGATGATTTCCTACCAGCTGAGATTTTTATTTCAATAAATGTTGCTTTGCTTGGATGGTACAATTTTTCCTGGTTGTATAAAATTTAAAAGGGTGCCAGTATCCTGACTGTAAATCTAATGTCTCTGTTTGTAATTTCACTGTGCATTAAAACCTGCCATGCCAGATTTTAGCCCTGAATGTGAGCATTTATTTTGCCATCGATGGTTATTGTTACTTTCTTCAATGTCATCATCATCAGGTTACAAAGAAAACATGTTATAAAACATGCACAGCCCTCTGGTCTCCCAGAGTAGTCAGGAAGTGGGGAAAAGCTGCTCAACCTGCCAGTTTGCTTTGGTCGAGGTGTAATTCGTAGATGTTTGTGATATACAGGGACAGTATCTAACCTTCTTCTGTCCTAAAAAGACAGCAGAAAATACCAGGAAACGTTTAGGTGACTTGACTTGGTCTAAGAACAGAAGCGTTGTTTGATTTGGTGCCAAAGAGGGAGCTTGTAAAGCTGCAACATTATCCTTAACTTGATAGGGACTAGCTGTATGTTAGTGCAATAACCATGTAAGAAGTGAAATTTGGCTGATCATTTGTCTTTGATAGCTTCATTTGCGTTCGGCCCCCCTAAGCCATTTCTCAGGGAGTGGGAGAACTCCTGATACTCCAGCTCTCTGCATGACTTGTCATTTAAATGACAAAAATCACTTCCCTCAAAAGCCTACTTTTCCTTCAGGAAAATCAGATTAAATCCAGGGCTGACAGTGTTTTGGTGAGTGGTTTAATGTCCAATATGTTGCATGACTCTAGATATAAAAGTAAACACATTGGAAAAGAGAATTTCCAAACTTTTTAAGGTCACCTTCTTTTCCAAAAGGCCCAAGGCTTCAATGGACCCTTTTTATATAGAGAAAATACTTCAAAGACCTCTTTATGACCTCTTGCATGAGGTTCAGGGTAGCTAAGGGACTGTGGCGTGTGTGAAGCTAGGAAGATTTCATGGTTACTTAAGCACTTCGTGACTGTCCCAGTTGTGAGCAGTATTCTCAGAGCATCATAGGACTCTTGGCTGGGGGGGACGTCCAGATGCTGACCAAATCTCACCTGGCCCTAAAAATGGGTCTTTAGCACCCACACTAGGTCTGGTCAGCTGTGCCTTGGAAATCTCCAAGGATGGGAAATGCACCTTCTTCCCAGGTAACCCGTATCAGTGCTGCCCTCCTAAATGATGCAGCATCATGTTATTGTTTTATACCTCTTACAGATTTATTTCTAGCTGTAAGTGTACTATGACGTTCCTGCTTGTGCCTCGTCAGTGGAATACCACAGCAAAAATAGGAGTCCAGCTTCTTGGCTGTGCATGAGTAATACAATGTCCTCTGCAAAGTTACAAGATTTTATTCTTCAGGCATGCACATAATGAGAATTCTGAGAATTTGTAAGTGAATGAGACCCAAACCAGCTTAAAAGTGGAGCCACTGAGAATTCTATGCAAGATAGATATACCTTTGTTGTGCTAAATTATCTTGGTTGCTAAGTAAAAATATGCTATAAACTTTTAGCGTGATTCTGTGGGCAGTATTTTAATGACTTTTGTAGCACTCAGTGTGTTGTAATTCAGAAGAAGAAATTTTGTGTTCTATAGAAACCAACAAATAATACTGTCTTCTTCAATGTGCCTGTCTCCAGTTCTCTGATGGCTAAAGTCAGCGCACTCTTGAGAAAATAATAAATAAAAGAAACCTTTTACAAAACGGCAACACTCTTAGTGGAAATGATGGTCCAAAGTCATCTTCCTTTAAGCCTAGCTTCCGTTTGTGGAAATTTCTTTGGCAAAAGTTCAGAGGTGTAGCTGCTGTTTAGGTAGATAGAGGCATTTACTTCTAATCGCATTAGTGTTTCAGCTGAATTATGAGATTGAAGGTGTTCAGTGCTTACCCAACATCACTACAGTTTTGTTAATTAATACTGTTTGCAACAGATACAAGTATATGTCAAACTGGAAATGTAGCTTGTTCAAAATGAATTCTAGGTATACTTTTATTTTAATCAAAGCTCCCATAAAATGCAATGAGAATTTAAGTAGTATTTCAGAACTGAAAATAGTATTAGGAAAAACTTGACAATGACTTTGTGCTTTCAGATTTTTCTGATGAAATATCTTGCTTCTGTCTTCTAGGACCTGCGCAAACAGGTAGCTCCATTACTGAAGAGTTTCCAGGGAGAGGTAAGAGCTTACGCTTCTCATGGTGCTTTCGATATTGCTTCACATGAGTCTGGTGTGCTGGCAATCTTTTAGTGTGGCCGCGTGGGTACAGAGCCCTTGAGCAGAGAGCATTGCAGGGGTTCAGCCCTTCTGCATTTTGCTGTGTGCAGGATATGCGTGACACGCTGGATTTGTGCTGGACAAGCTAAACTGGTCAAATCACTTTGCATTCAGCATACCTGAGCATAAGCTTCCCATTGCAGTGACTCAGGTGGCACATGCTAACTCGCTATGCCTCAGTGACTTGATGGTTTGGATGCTTAACGAATGCAATGTAATGTATGTATACAAAAATATGAAGATACCATGAATAGTTTTCACTGTAAACCTTTTCAGCTGTAAAACATTGTATTCTAGAGGGCTTGATGGAAAACCTTAAGTTGGCAGGTGCTTGTTGGAAAACCAACAGAAAGCGTTAACAGCTCTGGTGCTGGCTCTTACTTTGATTTCTCTTCATACCACTCCACTAAGAAACACATGATTAGAGTGATCACAAGTTTAAAAGCCAACTGTTGTTATTTGGAAGAATTTCTATAGCAAAAGGCAGCTGGGCCAATTACAGATTTTTACATTTTAGCTGTGGACCGCACTGAAGCGCTCACTTCGTGTGAGTGCTTAGGCCAGATGGGAGCTGTTGTACTGCCTCTAGGAAAATGCCTTGTACGAAGTTTGCAAATTATATTTCTCCTTATAAAGATCAGTGCCTGCGTGGGGTGGTAGATTTAGGTTTTAGCTCACATTCTGTTACACGTTGTAGAGCTTTGCTCTTAAAGTTAGCTGTGTTAAAGCAGCAACACTTTCTACTTTCTCAATCTATAAGTTGTTGGCTGATTTTATACTGTTGCAGTTCCCATCAGAGCACAGAAAAATTCAGGAACGTGTCTTCAGAAGCCTGCATAGGGAATTAGCTGCACAACTCCGGTTATCTGTAATGAGGGTTGCATTTCTGATTACTTGTACATCCTGCTAAATATGTATCCCAAATAGGCAATAATTCCTCATGTTAAAAGCAGTATGATATTTTTTATTTTACAACTCAATTTCCCAAGTAGTGCTAGAAATAAATAAATAAACAGGACAACCTTGTCCTTGATATATCCAATAGTAATTTGTGAGAACAAAGAATGACTTGTGTGAGTCTGTTTGCCAATGGAAATTTACACTTTAAAATTGCTCCGAGTGGATTGCAGTGCTTTTAAAACCTTTTCACTTTTGTTTCAAGCTTGCAGTGCACTGACTGAAAAGTGTATGTGTGCTTTCAGCACTGTTCTTTAATGAAGGAAATGTCTGAGGGTCAAGTAAGAATCATAAATCCAAATTTGGCTACAGCGAAGGAAGATTCTCCCATTAGACCTTGCCTGTTGGAGACAGCTCACTGTTACCTTGGTATGGCTCACACACACTCCTCTTCTGTAGTTTTGCTTCACTAATGTAAAAGTGAAGTTTATGTTGGTATAAATTCAACCTCACAAATTACAAGAGTAAAATTTGTTGGTAGAAATCCCCTCTTACGTAAATGAAGCACGAATACGTTACAAGATTGTGCTCCTGAATCTCTTAGCCGATGATTCCAGTCTCTCTAATCTAGATGTGGTTTTAGAAACCTAAAAAAACCTGAACTAATCATGATTGACTACATAAATGCAGAACATTAAACTGTGAATTGTGGTATTTGATTATAGATGTAATTACTGTATCTTGTTTTGGAGATAAATCAAAATACCAAGAATATTAGCCTGTTCTGTTGAGTTATATTTTATTGTTCAGTATATAGATTTGGTCTCTGTTTATTGTTAAGGCTGACTTTATGAAAGATCGTGAGATGAATGCTCCAGGTAGCTCAAGAACAAACTGTGTTAAGCGTATAGGCTTTTCTGCATTTCAAATCCACTGGAGATGCCTCGTCTGACTCTCCCCCAAGATGGCTCAGCAAGCAATATAGCTGGGGGCAGGACACCCACCCCACGAGCTCCACAGGATTGCTTTTCACTAGCTTGAGTGTTACCTGTTCAGTGATACCTAATGTCCTGGGAGGTGGTTGCAGAGGGACCTTCTAGTCACACAGTACAAGTACTTTGGGACATGAGCGGGGAGGAGGAAGGAGGAATAGGGAGTGATCTGCTCATAAGAGGTTCCCTGCTTCTACTACAGAGACTTGTTTTCAGCCCCAGACTAGGATATTTTTTAAAAAAAACAACAACAGGCGTAAGTAAAACAGAAGTAAGCAGAGAAGTAGTGAAAACAGATGTTTTCTAGAGTCCCTTCTTCTGGAGAGAGAGTGTCCTTGAGCAGCAGGTGGGGAATGCTGTAGGAGTGCTCTGGTTCACACCTCTGTAGGCATTGTGGATGGTATTACTGAACTTTGGAGCACCACCTTCTTCTCACCAGTTTCTCACATAGAAGCTAGGAAAAAGGATTCTTGCATGATGCAGCTTCTCCATTTACCGTCTCCACCACATTTTTGCCTCTGACTTCTATCTCCACCCCTACTGCTGTTGCCCCATCCTTTTCTTGATCCCTAATGACAGAACTAAGTAGGTGCTTTTTGCATGTCCAAGTAATATTAAATTACGATTCTACCTCAGAAGGGAAGCGGGCTTTTGCAAATCCCATGTGGTATAACTGTGCTCCACAGGGCTCTGGGCACTAGGGAGGGCCAGAAGATCAGAAGGGACAGAAAGCTCCCTAAAGAGCAAAGGTATTTAAGTAGCTTTATGTGGATATTGCTGTGTTCCTGCCTACCTCAGGACTGGCTCCCCACCTCCTGCCTTGCCTCAGCACTTTTGCTAGTGTGATCCCACGGTGAGCACAAAGTTTTCTTTTTTTTCCCCCTTTTCTGCCGGCTTAGTTTTCTGCCACGTTGGTTCACTGAAGCAGCTCACTGCAGGCGCCTGCTGGGCAGGGGAGAGGCCAGGAGAGCAAAGCCAAGGGCAGGAGGAGTGCAAATGTGCCAGCTTAGGTTGACTTAAACTGTCCTTGAACTGCACTCTCGGTGAGCCTGACGTGACTTGGAGAGAGGTTAACTTAAGCTCACATATTTAAATATCCTCCTAAGCATGCTTTATGGGACATCTGCTTGTAAACCTGTGGCTAGTTGACATAAATCCACAGGTCACTTTAGCCAATTTTTCTTTTCAGTTTGAGTATGGATATTGATACCCTACCCCCCCCACCCCCCCCAGTTTCCCTTTGTATAATACGAATTCATAAATAAACTCCCCCAACCAGAACATTCTGTATTCAGTAGATATTTATCTCGTTTATTCAGATGAAAACTGTTCCAGTTATCAAATATGCAGTTTCCATTAGTAGTTGGAAATAACTTTTTTTTTAATAGATCTCAGTGCTTTAAGTAACTGGATTTTTTATGATGACAGTTAAAGTAAAAGCATTATGAAATGGAATTTAGCATACTGCAAATTTTAAAATGCATTCCTAGTTCAATGTGAGACCCTATTAATTCATAACTGTAGTATAATTTTATTAGAGTACTTTTTCCTTATTTAGGTTTTTAATGGAAATTTGAATGCAGGGGTTTTTTTAAATTAACAGAATGTTGTGTCTGATTCAAAGCTGATGGTATTGTTCTTTTGATTTTTGTGGGTATTTTTTCTAGCTTTCCTGGAAAATTTAAGGTCTGGATGGTGTAAATAGGCTATTGTGAGCAAGACAGAAGTCATTAATTTAAGAGGTGTAAAATTCCTGTCGTTTCTATCTTTTTTTTTTTCTTTTTTTTTTGCTTACCGTTAACCAGAGGATGCAACTTACTAGTGGTTTGCTCACCATATGCTGGGCTAAATACAGGACAGAATCAGAAAAGGCTAAAGAGCTTTATCATTCAATCATAAAATGATTATATATCACTTGCAAGTTGGCAAGGCACTCCTTCAAGCAGCCATCTAAATAAGCTGTGTTCCGAGTAGGTCATCGTGTGTTACCATGTTTACATCAGTGGATGCATTTGTACGTTAAATCTTAAAAAAAAAAAAAAAGAAAAGAAAAGAAAAAAAGAAAAAAGTTATGTTCTTGGGCTATGTTAATTTACAGAACTAAAGTTTGTGGTATGGAAATCTAATGTTGGAATCCGTATTTGTGAAGTCATCAAATAGATATTTTAAGGCTGGGAAAGGATTTCCTGAGGTCATTAGCATTCTTTTCATGTGGCATAACAGTACTGTCCAACAGTAATGCAGTAATCCCTCATTTGGAGAACCCTTTAAGGCACATACTCCAAAACAACGCACTGGACTTTATTTCTGTGAAAACCATTTCTCATATTCTTCTCACAAAGCAAGTACTTTTAAGGGTATTGCCATTCTGATGAGACCACTCTGGCTCCCCACTTAGCTGAATTGCTCTTTAAACGATTAATTTGGTCAGTAGAGTAATGTAATAATTTTCCATATACAGACAACAGAAGCTGAAAATCAGTTTGGTGTGCTGGAACTACTAATGATGCCTTTGAAGGAGTACTCTAATAATGTGTGTGCCTAAACAACTTCAGACCGACTTTCCTTCTGCATTTTGAAGGAGTATTCCTGAGCTGATATTAATCTTTTTTTTTTTTTTTAACCCCCTTTAATTTCCTTATGTTAAATTTACAAACCTAATTAATACAATTTCTTTCCTGTAGGTTCACTCCATGATGGCTCAATTAGAGTAGCAGTAGAACTGTGGTTCAATATTCAGGCCAGCTTTATAATTGAAAACACATTTTCTTCTCAAAAGCTGCAGCTGGTTTGGTTCTGCTCATGCAGAAAAGGATATAACCTTGCATAACATAGGAAATGAACGGTTGAGAGAGAAGCCAAATTCAATTTCAGTCAGATATTTTGAGGATAAGTCCATGATCTATGGAAGCAAGGGAATGAAAAGTGTGTGTATGTGGAAAGCAGCGTATTCAGCACTCTATTAATCACGGCTAGCCTGGGTGCTGTTGTGTGCTGTTGCGTTAGCACTGA